GACCCCCCGCACCCCCTCTGTGTCCCCAGCAAATCATGAAGGACCGCTGGATGAACGTGGGCCACGAGGACGACGAGCTCAAGCCCTACATGGAGCCCGTGCCTGACTACAAGGACCCCCGCAGGACAGGTGAGACCCCCCAAGTGACCCCTGGGGACACGGGGACCTCCCCCCCACCCCACGGTGTCCCTGTGCCCCCTTCTGAGGGCCGTGCCCCCCCCTCCCCCAGAGCTGATGGTGTCCATGGGCTACACCCGCGAGGAGATCCAGGAGTCACTGGTGGGGCAGAAATACAACGAGGTGATGGCCACGTACCTGCTGCTGGACCACAAGAGCTCCGAGGTGGGGACACTGAGGGGACAGCGGGGACACTGTGGGGACAGCGGGGACACTGAGGGGACAGCAGGGACACTGTGGGGACAGCGGGGACACTGTGGGGACAACGGGGACACTGTGGGGACAACGGGGACACTGGGGGGACAGGGGACCGTGGGGAGGAGATGGGAGGGGATGAGCGGATATGAGGACACGAGGAGGGACATGGGGACAAGGTGGTTCTGGGAGGGTCATTGGGGACAGGAATAGGAGGGGACGTGGTGACAACGGGACACTGTGATAGTGTGGGATCACTGAGATGTGACAGTGAGGGGACGTGGGGACACTGAGGTGACACGGGGACACGAGGAGCATGGAGGGAGTGAGGGGACACAGGGACAAGGAGGGACACGGGGACACTGACAGGATGGACAGGGGACACTGTCCTGTCTGCCATGCCCTGCCCCCATGCCAGCCTGTCCTGTCCCCTGTCCCTGCCCGGAGGGTGTCCCACATGTCCTCACATGTCCCCTCTGTCCCAGCTGGAGGAGAACCTGTCCCTGAAGCCTCGGGTGGCCCCGGAGGTGGCCAACAGCTCGGGCCCCTCCCCCGCTCACAAGGTGCAGCGCAGCGTCTCGGCCAACCCCAAACGGCGAGTGAACGAGCAGGGTGAGACACTGGGGATACTGGGAGCGCTGGGACCCCGCACTGGGGATACTGGGAGCGCTGGGACCCCGCACTGGGGACACCGCGGGGGTCAGTGACCAGGGTGACACCCCAACGTGGGACACTGGGAGGGGGTGACACCCCAAACTGGGGACACTGGGGCTGTGGCTGGGTGACTCCCTCAGGTCTGGGGTGTCCTGGATGCTGGGGGGGGTTCATGGCTCCCCTTGGGGGGCAGAAATGGGACTGGGGGGGATCGCTGTGGGGTGGGAACGAGGGTGCCCAGAGCCCCATGGGGGAGGGAATGAAGGGGAGGGGAGGGGTCCCTGTGTGACCCCCCCAGCCCTGACACCCCCTCCCCCCCAGCCGGGCTCTCCATCCCCACCTCGGCCTCGTACTCCAAGAAAACGCAGGCGGCCAACGCTGAGAACAAGAGAGGAGGAGGAGGAGGAGGAGGAGGAGGAGGAGCAGGGGAGGAAGAGGGCGGAGGGCGCCGGGCTGGCAGCACTGCCAAGGTGCCCCCGAGCCCCCTGCCCGGCCTGGAGCGCTCCAAGGGCACCTCCTCCCCCTCCACGGTCAGTGCACACCTGGCGTGGGGGGCCCTGGCGTTGGGGGGAGGGTCCCAAACACCTGGAACCCCTGGGTTTGGGGTCAGTGTTTTTTGGGAGTGGGAACGGTGGCATTGGGGGTCACTGATGGGGGTGTTGGTGTTCCCCAAATCCCGTGTCTGCTCTCTGGGGGGGTTTTGGGGACCCCTGTCCCCCCCAGTGACCCCCCTGTCCCGTGTGTCCCCCCACAGAACAGCGTCCTGTCCACGGGCACCACGCGCAGCCGGAACTCGCCACTGCTGGACCGGGCCAGCCTGGGCCAGAGCTCCCTGCAGAACGGCAAGGACAGGTGGGGACCCCTCCCCAAAACCCCCCTGAGCCTCCTTCCCACAGTGGGGCACCAGCACAGCCCCTCCTGGAGGGGTCC